ACATAACAAAAATTCAGGTCAATAAACAGGGGGATTTTTCACAGTTTTTATAAGGTAATACCAAAAAAAGAGATTCATTTAAGCGAGTTGTTCAATTAAACGGGACTCAATTAAACGATGTTATTCATGTATATTTTAATAGGGATTTAAAGTTGCCTTAGTTTTTCGTTCAATAAAAGGGGAAAATCAATTAAGCGTGGTGCATTTAACCGGGGAGAACTGTATCTAGTTTTGGTATTTACCATTTTCAGATAGTTAAGACTCCTTTTAAGCACGCAGTTAAAAGAGTATTCGATTTTATGACACCTAGGATAATTATCTAAAAATATAAAATTTTCGAGTTATCTAGTTGTATTGCATTAACCTCACGATATAATAATCTAATAAATAATTATTTAAGTTAATCTCAAATTATTTTTATTTTCCATATCTATGGCGTGAAAGATGTACAAAATTAAAATTAATTTTTATGTAGTTTTTAAAATTTATAAATTAAAAATTATTTAAGAACTTTAATAAAGTAAATAACTAGCTAGCCAGCAAATGAAAAAAATTACAAATTTTCAAATTTGAAAAATAATGAATTTATTTTTATATTTAAAATATAATTTACAGTTTATTTCGGTTTGTTTATTATATTTTTTTTTCTTATTTTTTTTTTAAAAGGAAATTATTTTTATAATTGAATTGTAACCATTCATAAACTTTCACTTCATATTTTATTTTATATAATATAACAGTGTATGTATATATAACAATATATATGTATCTGTTATACGATAAATAAATATAAAATGAATCATTCTCTATAAATTATATTATTTATTTAAATATTTAATTTTTTTTTTATTTTAAATTACGACGGTGCCTTGATTCATTTAAATAAAATGCACACTTTGAACATTGAATTCTTTGTGCATGTATTTTATGTTGTACGTTATATATATACTTATTTAATGCAATTAATATATTTAAATATTTTGGCAAAGTTTTGATAAATGTAAGTATTTTTCGTTTAAACAATTATTCGCATTAATTTTATATTTGAGCAGCTACGAAATTTAAATCATTGTAAATTTAATAAATTTTGTAATTTTAAATTTATTATTAGTTAAAAGATTAATTGTTCCTAATATTAAAAATAATAAATAAAAAAATTTTATACAAGAAATTATTCACAAATATTTTTATTTATTATTTTTGTTGTTTTCAATTTAACAAAATAAAAAATTTTAAATACATAATTTATATTAAGGAATTTTTAATTTATTTTGAGGTTATTTTGTATTTAAAATTAATTCCAAATTAACTATTATTATATATGCAATTAGGTATTTTTGACAAATTAATATATTTAATAAAACAAAAATTATTAAATGTGATTTTGGTCATTAAAACTTTTTTTTAATGCATTTTTACATAAATTTTGTACGGTTAACACCAGTTTAATTAATTTCTTAAATTTTTTGATAATTTTGATCAAATCGGACCTATGATTTAATTCAAATACTGAGCATAACGATTTTCCTGACTTTGAAAACTACTTTTGGCCTTTGCCCGTCTTTTAGTCTAGAGTAAAAATTCTTTACAATGTTAGTGTGTTTGTCAACTTCTTCGACTAGAGTAATAAGACTTTTTGCGGAAAATAATACAAAATGCAAAATGCTTTTGCATTTTATATTATTTTCAAAAGTGAAAAAAACTTCACAAAATAAAAGCAAAAATATGGTAGTTATTTATAGTTAGTGAGGATTCACTGCCCGTTTAAAATTTTGCGTTGTCCTTTGACCTTTTCAATTTTTATTGCCTCCAAATTAATATTCTTTTAAACTTTTTTAATTTCTATTTTTTTATTATTTCAATGAAAAATTTTTATTATCACGACTTTCGTATGGCGAAAAGCAGCTGTCTAATAAAAATATTTAAAAATAAATACATATTTTATAGAATAAAAATATAATTTAATGGCCATCAGTAAAAAAAAAAACTTTTGTCCAATAAAAAATAATAATTTTTTTTTTTTGTTTTTGTATTTGAAATGAGTAAGTATGTAATGAGTGTAATCGCTCTAGTCATAGCAGCAAAAATATTTTAATTTTTTTTTTGCATTGAAAATTTAATTGAAAATTACCAATGTTTTGATATTTAATTAACCATAATTTTAATCTGAGGTTGACCACATTTTTGTTATAACTAAATATATTAACTATATACGTATGTATTACCACATATGTACGTGCCAACAAATATTTCAATTATTAGTAATATTTTTTTAAACATAGCTAATAACATTTATTAAAAATGTGAAGTTTTTTTAATTTTTGACCATATTTACTTCCGGTTGAATCTGTCATTATTAGTATAGCTACATTTCTTATACATGTACATATGTATTTAAATAAAACACTCATTTTAATAGTTTACTGAATCCAATAAAAGTGTTTTACGCGAATAATGTACTCCTCATATAATGATTTTCAATTCAAGTAATTGAACAGATATAACGGTAAATAATAGTTTTAAGTCTCTGTAGTGGGACATAAATAAATTTTCTGCGAACATTATTTTAAATACTTATCTTTTCATCCATCTGTGTGCCTGTTAACAAAACTTCTACACTGTTTAAGATAGGAAACTAAAATTTTATATACAAATAGATCTTTACTAGTAACTTACTTCCGTTGAAGATAATTTTTATCTATCCTCTTCAAAAGTTAAAGCCCCTCAAAATCCTAAAAATTCCCTACTATTTATTGTCGCAAAACCACAAAAATTCTTTTAATTCAGCAAACGAGTAAAAATAGTTTTATTTTCTAAAGCTTTTTCTATCGTGGCATAGTATAGTTGAGTATGATGACATAATAGCCGTTAAAATTAATTGTCATTTGAAATCCGTTTTTTTTTTATATTTTTAATATCGTTTTTCTCCTTTAAAGTAAATTGTAGGAATCTGAAATTTTAGCAGCATTTAGATACTAGCAAGTACTTTTTTCTTTCTCTCTCTTAAATTATCGTCTCGGCAAATTCGTACAATTTCAATTTTCAACCCCTTGTAATTTCGAAACTGCTAGATTTTCCAAGTTTCTATAATAGCGAAAAGGTAACGGCAAATGCAATTTCGTCAACTACTCTAAATATTTATCTTAACTCACACAATCTGTTATGCATATTAAGATGAACAGTTTAAATATGATTTCGTAGATATTATTATAGCTACGCACTTTAATTTAAAACCCTAACTTGCATGCCAATTTTTGATTTCTCTTAATGTTCAACTGAATACAAATAACTGCAGTAAACCCACATCCATAAATATAAACATAATGCATATATAGGAATTGAATCAATATAAAGTGAAAGAAAATTGCATTTAAAAGACAATTTACTTATATGAATTGTTGATAAAAAAAAAAATCAACTCAACAGATTTCCCAATAAACAAGTACTGGAAAATAAATCAAAAGAAAAACTATATAAAATTAACATTAAAAAGGGGAATGATCAAAATTAAAGAAAAGAAGGTAAAACATTTCAAGCACACCTAATATCCTTTGCAAAAAAATATTTAGGAGATAAGGGTAATTTGCAGAAGTCTTAAATATAATATAACTGAAAATTATACCTTAGCTAATAAAAAATTTATAACAGACACATTTCTCTCTAAAAATATTGCTATAACATCAACAAGTATTTATGTAAGTATATAGAATTCGGGTATAAACAGAAAGTACATCTGAATACAAGTTCGCAGGGTATTATATAGATTTTAACTATTCTACCTTTTTAAACCTCATAAAATAACATTAAAATTAAAAAAATTGGATCATATCTCATATTCTGTACTGTACTTGATTTACGAAGTTCTAATTTGAAAATTTATATTTTCGAATATGGCAGTTGTAAACAAATAAACATACAAACTACGTAAAATTTGTAAGCTCCAGTAAACATTCGGAAAATTCTTCGAAATTATTCCGAGAAAAAACGTAATTGAATATATTTATATTTTTATTGTTTTCTTGCTTATATTATATTTTTATTGTTTATTGGATTAGAATATAATAAAATAAATTAAGTTAAAGTATACTTAAAAAAAATCTGATAGCGACATTTTTTGTATGCTGTGCAGTTATTTAAAAAATAAATAAAATTTCAAAAATTCGATTTTTCTGCACGAAAAATGGTATACAAACATCTTTTGACACATGAACTATTTTTATAAATTATAACATTACTTATCCTTTATTGAAACATTGATTTACATAATCAATTATAGTAACTCGCATGACAAGAACTAGTTGTACTTTTTAAATTTATACAAAAAGTATGTGAATAAATACTAGATTTAATTATTTTTCACATTACAATACACATTAATAATACCTACTTTAAACACTTTTTCTTTAATTAGAAAAATAATTTCATATAAAATATAAAAAAAGAATAAACATTATCGTAAGAAAAAGTTGAACAACAGTAAACCAATATAATTAAATTATTAGTTAAAAAACAAACCCCAATTAATGAAAATAATAAAAGGAAACTAAAAGTTCTGTTATAATTTTATTCAATCCCATTGAAAAATACCAATTCTAAATTAGAATTTAGATATTCGTTTATAAATTATTAATATTTTTTAGAAATTTAAAATTAAATGATAAAACTTCTGCTGGATAATTCGTATCAAAGATCAAATAGTGTAGCTAAAATATGTTAAATATAATAAGGAAGAATAGAATTTATTGTATAAGAATATTTTCAATACATACATATATATATATATATTTATGCATTTATTATAAAAAAGACAAGGAGCAACAGAGTGTATGTAAGAAAAAAAAAAAAGAGCACAGCCACAATATAATATGTAAGTCAAAGTATATATATAAGTAGGTATATACAATATAAATTATATATAAGTAAGTTTTTGTGTCTTTTGAGTATAGGAACAACAAGTTTAATTTGTTTTTTTTTTTTTTCAAAAATAAAAGTTTACTCACCCGAAATTAAAAAGAACACATGTGTTCTCTATAATAGCAACAATCGAAGTAAGGCAAAAAACAAAATCAAAAAGAAAAGCAAATTTTCCGAGAAAAAAAAAACAAAAACAAAAATTTTTTTTTGTTTTTCCAATGGTAAAAGACGGGAAATTTTTTTGCAATGAAAAAAAAAAATTGTTTTTTATTTGTAACTTTTATTTTTTGCTTTTCCTTTCTTTTTTTTGTGTTGCTTCTTTGCGTTTTTTTCTATCTTCTTTCTTCTTTATGAATTTTCTATTTTCTCTTTTATTTTTATTAATATTTTATGTAACTTTTATTATTTTTATTATTTTTTCTTTATTAAATTTTCCTTTTCTTCTTTTAATATTTTTATTATTATTATTTTTATTCTTTATTCTGTTGTTAAATTTTTCATCTATAAAAAAAAAAACAAAACGATGTGAAAATTTTCAAATTCTATATTATAAGAAATAAAAAAAAAAAACAAAACAATCACAAAAAATCATGTATGAGGGAGAGAAAGAGAGAGAAAGGGAAAATAAAACTTATAAAGAATTCACTTTGATTTTTATTTTTTTTATTTATTCTTTTGATAATTTCTTTCTTTTATTTATTATTTATTTATTTATTATTATGTTATTATTTTTATTATTATTGCCGTTCCTTTATACCTTTACATTAAGTATAATAAAAAGAATAAAAAAGGAACGTTAATACTTTATTTATTATTTTGTTTTCGTCTTTTTTTCTTTTTTTTATAAAAGGATAACAAAACAACAGCGAAATCAACCAACAAAAAAAAATTAACTGAACAAAAATTTATATTAAATATTATTACACTCATATGCCCTACATGGGGGCATAAATGTAAGTACACATTTAAGATAAGGTGGTTGGGAGGGACGGGAGTGGTAGGAAAATGAGGGGATTAGAAATTTTCACAAGAAAGTGAAATTTTTATTATTAATTTTTTAATATTTTAATTTTTATTATTTTTATATCTTATTTTATAAAAATATTTGGGAACAATTTATTTCATTCGTATATTCTAGAATAATATTAGTATTTAAGGTATTGTAAACAATTATACATGTATAAATCTATATATATATATATATATATATATATATATATATATAGATTTTTTTTTTATTAATTCTTTTACAATTTTTTTTTATTTATTTTCAATACCTATATTAAATATATATCTTTTTTTACGTTTTTCACTTTAATTGAATTTTATATTGTTTAACATCTAACATTATTTACAAGATGTTTTTTTTATATTGCATTCAACTATTCCTTTTTGTATGTTTAATTCAATTTCTTCTTCATATTTTTTCTTCTCACCTTCCTTCATAAATAGAGTTTCCTTTATTATTTTCTTCTCTTTCTTTTATTGTATATTCTTTCAATTTAGTTTTTTTTCGCTTATTCTTTCTTTATTCGACTTTATTCAGTGAAAATTGTTTTATTTATTTACGTATTCTCTTTGTTTACGGTATTTTTTGCTTTCTTCATTTGCAAACCTCTTTATTAGAAATTTTACTTTATATTCTTACTTTTTTTATTTAAATTATTTTTTTATGTACGTTATAATTTTTATTATCAATGAACACTTATATAAGCTTTTTAAAAATTATTAGCACTTTTTGTATAGAATTTTTATTAAATATACAATATTAATATTAAAATAACTAAGTGACAAGGACAAAAAACGATTTTCCTTTTTTTTTTTTGCGTTAAAATTGTTTTTTAATTTAGTTTAATTAATATAATCTCTTTCTTTTTTATAGTTGTGAATTTCATCTATATATTATTAAATTTTTTTGCAGCTTAAATTCGTTTTTTATTAATTTTTTTTTATCCAAATATAAAAGAAAATTGATGATATTTTGTTTGGTCAACAGATGGTGTAAAGATGTCGCTTAGTAGCAGTAGTGATACTGGTGTAATTTAAAATTATTACGATGGCGGATGATGCTAACAATATAGTTATGTTGAATTTTCCAGATCTACTTTATTTTATTGTTTTTTTTTTTTGTTTTTATATATATATATATTTATTTAAATTGATTTCAGTTTTTATAGATTTGTTCATAACTATGTTATAACATTTGAATAATTCTTATATTTTTTGATTTGATTTGACAAGAAGAGAAGGAGGACACCTGAAATCATTTGAGAGAATTCGTTTGAAAAATGGAAAAATTCATGTTTGATTTTTTTTTTAATATATTATTGAATTTTTATACATTATTTGTGTGAAATGAAATTTTAATACAAAAAAAACAAAACGAATAATACAAAAAAAAAAAACAAGAATTTTATAGTGATTTTTTGGAAAAAAAATAATGTTTAATAATGAAATTACATTATAAAATAAGTATGTATATATATATAGGTGTATAAATTTTTAAATAGGTAAATAATGTATTTAACAAACAACAACAGAATAAAGAGAGAAAGAGAGGCAAAAATCGACAGACATAAATTAGAAGGTGATAATTTTTTTGTTTTAATTTGAAAAATTTTATTTTTAAAAAGTGATTTAATATTAATAATTTTTTGTTTTGTTTTAATTTAAAGAGAAAATTCTATATAAAGAAGAAAGAAAACACAGAGAGATTAAAAAAAATTAAATAAAAAAATACAAACTTTTTTTTTAAATTATTACTTATTAATTTTTTTTATGTGTTTTTTTATTGCAGAAGTTTCATTCAATTTTTATTCCTAAAAAAAAAAACAAGAAGTGAAAACTAAAGAGGAAACATAATTTTGTTTTGCTATTAAAAAATTTTGTAATAAAATTTAGTAATTTATAGTAAATATTAATTAAAAAAACACTAAGTATCTAAATTATATGAAAAGAGACAGATATACTTAAAAAGAGAAAAAAAAATATGCACGAGAGAAACGTAATTAAGCGAAAGCAATTCATGAGCAAAAATATTCAATTCAACACTTTTATTTATTAAGTAGCTATTATTTACAATTTAAAAACTTCGAAATCAACAAATTTGAAAAAAAACAATGGGATTAGAGAGCAACGTATAACATGCTTTATTACTTTGTATTCTTTCACTTGAAAAATGTTTTCAAAAAGTAAAAAGTATGAAACAAGTACAAAAGCTCAAAAGCTGTTAATAAAAGTTCTTTATATAATTATGTCACTAAAATCACGTCTCATTTTTAGAAGATCTTGAAGTAATAAAAGAAACTTCAGAAATATGTTTATCAATAAAAGGCGCCATATGATATTCTCCGGTCCGTTAATTTTTACAAATACAAGACAAATTCGATTGTTAAATTGAATATTTGCATACCAGAAGAGGGACAACATTTTGAACATATTTTTAAGTCACTGAAGGAAAAAGATTGGTTTATTTTTCTCAATAACTTTCATACCAGATCAAATGGAATGATGATTCATATATCAGGGTTTCCAGGATTTTCAGCTGCATAAAACTTTAAGAAAGTTCCAATGTCACGTTACCTAAAAGTTAACGTTTTTTTTTAAATTGAAAAGTTAAAATTGAAAATTTTTCGAAAATTAAAGTCATGTAATTCCGAAATCTGAACAGATTTAAATTATTCTGGATATTCATGAGAAAGCTTTTATTCTAAGGTTTCCCAATTATATTTAACAACTCGCTGTCTTAAACAAACACGGATTTATAAATAAAATTTCAAAAAGCAAAAAATCAGTTGACATTGACTTTGGGTACCTGTAACTCCAAATATATATTGTCTATATTAGTAAAACTATCCCAGAAGATCAGGGAAATACGTTTTAAACACTTATTTATAATTTTAAGGACACTAATATGTTTTTAGTTAACACACCCAGAAAAATGTGAATTTGGCTCTTAGTAGAGTTTAATTTTGTACCGTCCGAATTATACGAAAAAATATTCGTCAAAAACTTCTGCTAAAAACTAGTACTCAAATAATAAATTTCAAGCAATTCCATCAATTCGCTCCGTAGATATGGTAAAAAAATGTAAAATCGGCCCCCAGATTAGTTTCCGAGCCCTGACCGTTCCAAAAAATTTATAATTTAAAAATAATTTAAATACTAAATTTCAATGAAATTGATTAAATATTTCTCTCTATATACGGAAAAATATATATTTGGTCCGTAGTAAACGTCCAGCTGATTTCTTTCTGTCTAGTTTCGCGTAGGGTCGAATGAAGTTTATATACGATTTCAAGTAAATCAGTTGAATATTTTCTTCAAAATTATCAAAAATATAAAACAGACCCGTTAAAATATCCAGTTCCCGAAGTCTGATATACCCCAAAAGTTCATCGATCCGTGACATAGTCGAGGTAAACTTACATACAAGATTTCATCAAAATCGGTTTAGCCGAACTTGAGATAAACGCGTCACACACAGACCAACAGACCGACAGGTTGCTAAAAATAGCTTATTTCCACTTCCCTACTATGGAGAAGTGCGTTCTCACCGAAAACTCGATATGCAAAATTTGTTGCTATCACATAACCTACCTTATTGTATACACAATGCAAAAAGGAAGTAATTTAAGGAACAAAAATAAATAAGATGAAAGATTACTCTATCCCACATTACTTAATTCAAAATAAGTTTATATTTTTTGCAATAAAATAAAAACTTCGTTTGTACTCCTTAGAATTGCTTAAGGCTTGGTTTAAAATATTTTTTATCAATTTAGTTGCTTGTTTTAACATTTTCGTTAATATTTGTTTTACGTAAAAGGCGATTAATCCTATACTTATATTTCCTACTATTACGTATTTGTTTTGGACATGCTATCTTTATGTTTTACCGGTAACCGGTTTATTTATACACAACCAGTTATGCCTATTTTAATGAGACCACATTCAAAAAATATATTTTATTAATAAATTTTAACTTCACTTAAGTTATTTTAATCAAAGTATTTTGAAAGTAAAATCATTTTTCAAAAATATTATAATTAAATTAACATAAATTAAAAAAAATAAAGGTGACCTTTTCTCTCCAAAAATTGTTACGTTGGTTAACCAAAAAAAAAAAATATTTCATTATTAATAAATTATCTCAATAAATTCAATTTTCATTTAATTAACAAATTTATACTGAATATAATAATAATTATTAATGAAGGTCAATTAAAAGAATATTTCTATTTTAACGAAACTTTTGTTTCGTTATTATATATATTTAAAAATTAAAATTAGATCACGTTATAAATTAAAAGCTTAATAATGAAAAACCCTACATTTATTTTTGAATAAGTGTGCATTTTAAATTAAAAAAAAAAAATTATGATGAATGTGCAGAGTCATATGTCATAATACTGTTATACTGAAAAAATTTCAAAACCTCATTGTAAGCGTTCTAAATTCACATCGAACATATTTAACCCTTTCTGTGCCCAATTTTATTTATGACATTTCATATTGTAATGAGAATTGAGATTCATAGGCTGTCTCCGTTAAACATTTTCGGCAAGAGTGCAAAACATTTTAAATATCTGTGCTAAAGTTTTACAATTGCTTACATTAAAGTATTAAGGTATAAAACAATCATTCTGGTCACACCAAATTTCAAATTAAAAAAAAAATAGCTAGTTAACAATTTTTTCTTACAATTTATAATATAATTTATAATATAAGATCTGTTTGACAACGTATATTAGGAGCAATTGAGATTTTCGCAGAAATCAGATGCCATTCACTATGAAAGTTTTAATGAAATAAATTTACATTCTTATAAAATTGATTATGTAATCATACAATCACTTATCTAAAGAAATACTTGAGGGAATTTCTTGAAATTTTATATTTCAACTATGATTGTCCAAACAATTAATCAAAAACTTTATTTACGACATTAGAGTTAGCAAAAAAAACTTCTGTTAGAGGCCGATTTTACCTTGATATACATTACATAAACACATCTAAAAAAAGGGCTAAAATTTAAAATTTTTCGGGAAGACCGAATTGGAGAAAGTGAAATTCTACTAAGTGCCATATTGAAATTTTCACACATGAACCAGAAGATTATACCTGTTTTCCTGTGCAAGTCTTTTCAGATTATGAAGTACGTTCCTGTTACGTATAAGAATAGATTTATTGAAGTTTTTTAACATAATTCAAAAAATCAAGACATAGTCAATTAAGAGCTTATAATATTAATTTTTCTTTTCATTTTTCATAAATATAAATTTTGAAAAATAAGCAAGTTATCGCAACAACTTTTAGAACGTTTCAACAAGATGTGGCTGTTAGCTATTAAAAATTCGAATAAAATTCTCAAGTTAATAAATACTTGCACAAAATATTCAAACACCGAAATTTATATTTCTTTTTTTTGTATATAATTTAATTTTTTTAATAAATGATAAATTTTAATTAATTTATTGTATTCTTAAAACTTTTCCACTTGATTCAACTTTAAATTAAAATTTTTTATTTAATATTTTTGACCAGAAACTTTATCGGTTATTAATCCTGACTCAATTAAGTATGCTTTTCTTTTTCGGAATAATCTTAATCTCACCGAATCACCAACACAATACCTGATTACTCCATTTATCTGTGTTTGTAAAGAACATTTCTTAAGAAAAGATTGTGTAGTAAGCATGACACATGCTTCTTTTATAAAGAACTTAAAAACAAATATTTTTTTTTTCATTTTTTTTTTTAACTTAAAACAAATAAATTTTACAGAAAGTGAATAAAATTGGGAATAAAAAATAAAAGTTGTTTTTCTTTTCACTTTTTATTGCCTTTATTATTTTTTTGTCATTTTCTTCTTAGCCCCAAAGCTGGTTTTTTTTTTTATATTTATTTTATTTTTGTTCTTGCCTCTTCAAAATTATAAGATTTTAAAGTATAGTTACCATTTTCTTTTTTCAATGTAGAATATTTTTAAACTAATAATTTAGAGTTTTTATTCTTGCCAACTAAAATGAAATTTGAGTCCAAAAACTAAAAGGTATGAACAAAATCATTTGAAACTTCTTGAAACAACTCTTGTATAGATAGCAAACTATAACAACAAAGTAAGTGAATAATGTTAATATAGAAGATTATTAAGCACATACGGCATATGTACATATGTATATGTGTTTGAACTTTCATGTACTATTGGTAACTAATAGGAAGACATACGTACATATATGGCAAATTACGTCATTT